CCTGGTTCTGTCGCCCTGTTCCAGGGTGGAAAAGGCCAGGAACTTAATTTCACTGCCCCTCAGTTTCCCTACTTGGACAATTAGGTGGCTGATTTCTGGTACACTTTCTAACGCAGCTCAGAAAGCCTACCATCCCGGTCCTCTTTGTTGTGGACTCCAGTGGGTAGAAAAGGAAGTCAGAAAGAGTGACCAGAAAGCCACCTCTTCTTTGTGTAATACATCTGGGCCTTCTCAGAAACTTACATCGGGAACTTTCCTTTGGAAGTCCCATCTCTGGTCCCCAGTCTTTGGGGAGCAGGTCCAGAAACTGAGTCCTAGAACTGAAAGCTGGAAGTACAAGAAAAAAGGATCTGAGAGTTTATTTTTTAAATACCAAATTCTTGATTAGGCCTCCTTCCACCCTCTGTTCTTTCTTCATCTGAACAGAGCGGCAATAGTGAGCGCCCGAGCACCCGCCACAGTCCTTGTCCCATTCTGTCTGACACCGTCCAAGCTGCGTGCTGAGAGGGTGGCTTATCAGAAGCTCAGAGGGATAAACCTAACCCAGGAGATTGAATTAAGACTGGAAAATATCTTGACAGGCTGGAATAATGGATGAAATCTAACATTTGAAATTTAATCAGGATAAATGTAAAGTCTGGCCGACAGGTTCAGAATACCAAGGGCACAAAAACAGCTGATCTCATGAAAAAGGCCTAGAATGTTCAGGTCACTACAATCTCAACCTGCACCAAAACCGTCAACAGGATGATTCCCCGCACCACCCCCCCGCCACCCTGCGGCTTCCCCTCACTGAAGCTAGCAACGTGTGGGCTTTGCTGAATAAAGTTCACTGAAGGGGTGCCTAGGGGGCTCAGGCAGTTAAGTTTCTGACTCTCTATCTCAGCTCAGGTCATGATCTCAGGGTCGTGAGTTCAAGCCCTGTGTTGGGCTCCATGCTGGGTATGGAGCCTACTTAAAATAAACAAATAAAGGGGGCGCCTGGGTGGCTCAGTTGGTTGGGCGACTGCCTTCGGCTCAGGTCATGATCCTGGAGTCCCGGGATCGAGTCCCGCATCGGGCTTCCTGCTCGGCAGGGAGTCTGCTTCTCCCTCTGACCCTCCTCCCTCTCATGCTCTCTGTCTCTCATTCTCTCTCTCAAATGAATAAATGGGAACTTAAAAAAATAAAAAATAAATAAACAAATAAAGCTCACCAAAGTAAGAGCAGAAAACTCTGCACCATCCTCTGCCCTGTGTTGTTAACCACATCTGTGTCATCAGTGTGACTCAGTGATGGGCAGCAAAGCAGACGAGGCCCAGAGGGAATGACAGACTCCAGGCAGGCAAGCGGTGACTATACACTCATGAAAAAAATTAGAACAAGGGAAATAATGTCTTAGTATTATTATTAGCAGAGTTTTGATCCCATTACGGCCCTGAAAGTTCCTGAGGATATCGGACCACAGTTTTGAGAACTACCTACCACCTTTCACTTCTCTGGCTTCAGGCATATCATCTAAACAAAAGCAGGAAGGTGAGAAGAGTTGAGCAGGTCACACTGTCTTCTTACCCAGAGAGGAAAAGCTTCCCTAGCAGGTCTGAGCTGCCTTCCTCTTGGTTCACTGGCCAGCCCTGTCACAGGATCTCAACTAGCTGTTGTCCAATATGAAAGCAAAGACCAAAACCCAACAAAGGTGTTGTGAAGTTTAAGGAAACAAAGAGAATCCAGAGAACAGAGTAACGAAAATTTTAAACCCATAATTACTTTCTTTGGAGAAGTAAGAGGACAATATTGGGTCCCTAAAATAAGAACAATATACTATTAAAAGTATTTTACAGGTGAAATAAAAATTCAACCAATGGGTTGAGAGATAAAGTGGAGGAAATCTCCCAGAAAAAAAAAAAATACAAAGCAAGTAAACAGAAGAAATTAAAAAAAAAAAAATTAGGATACATACACAAGGTGTAATCAGCCAGATCAGATAAATTGCACAAAGAAGCGAGAAAACAGAAAATTACCACGGAAATAATTCAAGAAAATGCTCAAGAATTTGAGCATTCCAAGAATGGTTCAGGAATTGAGAGAATTGAGTTTCCGGATTACAAGAGCCTACTACATGCCCAGCAGGAGGAAAACCTCGCAAGGTGGGTCATGATGGCATTTTCGAATTCTACAGATAGAGCAGAGAGAGAGAGGGAGACAGGCAGAGAGACAGAGACAAATTCTGAGAGAGAGAGAAGTCATACAAAAAAAATTTTTTTTGAGAGTTAAGTTGACTGTGTAGAATGTTGGGTTGAAAATAATTTGCCTTCAGAATTTTGAAGGGACTGCTTTATTGTCTTCTAGCTTCTGGGATTGCATCCCAATTTCTGTACATGAGCTCTCTCTCTCTCTCAAAATCTCTCTCAATCTGTCTTTCTCTCTCAATCTCTGTCTCTCTCCATATATATATATCCTATCGGTTCTTGTTGGTTCTATTTCTCCAAATGCCACATAATAAACTGGGCGGGCAGATTTCTATTATGACAGGGGAGCAGGGAAGACGGGTACTGGGGACTATTAGGAAAAAGAAGTACTTAAAAACTTCAGTCAGAGCAAAAACTTGTGTAAGAAAGGAAACATAGCCATGATGGGCTACTTGGCTTAGGAATGACTGTATTTTGTAGAATCATAACAAGTAAACTCTGACACATTGACTTAACCCCAAACCATCATGTAACTATTGGAATGAGAAGAAAATGAGGAGCAGTAAATGTTCTCAAGGTGCTAAATGATCTTCTTGTACATTAGGACCCTGCTATAGACTGAATATTTGTGTTCCCCCCAAATTCATATGTCAAAATCCTAACTTCCAATGTGATAGATAGTATTAGGTAAGGCCTTTGAAAGACTCTGCCCTGGGGCATCTGGGTGGCTCAGTCAGTTAAGCATCTGACTTCAGCTCAGGTCATGATCTTAGGGTCCTGGGGTCAAACCCCACGTGGAGCTCCCTGCTCAGTGGGGAGTCTGTTTCTCCCTCTGACCCTCCCCTGTGTTCATGCTCTCTCTCTCAAATAAATAAATAAAATCTTTTTTAAAAATTAAAAAAAGGAAGACCCTGCCCTATGAATGGGATAAATGCCCTTAGAAAAGAGACCTCAGTATGCTCCCCTCATGTGAGGTTAGAGTGAGCTTTCAGTGAACCAAAAAGCAGGTCCTCAATGGACACTGAACCTCTTGAACTTCCCAGCTTCCAGAACTGTGAGAAATAAATTTCTGTTGCTTATAAGCCACCCAGTCTGTGGTATTCTGTTACAGCAACCCTCACGGACTAAGACAGACCCAATAGACAATACACATACACTGAGAACTGGAGTATGCTAGAGCTTGAAGAATCCCTTGAAGTCCAAATCGCTTGACTGAATCACTCTGTACGATGAGAAATGGCCTCAGAGACAAGCCACAAAACGAGTCAGTGGTGGAGTTGGGATCAAAACCAGGTCTCTTGATTCCTTTCCCCAATTGCCTCCTCAAACAGGGATGCCAAGATTGTACCACTGGGGGTGGGGGCACTTTTGTCATTGTATTTCATGAAAATACACAGTCTAGGGAACACCAGCCTCCAAGGAATACAACGCAGTTGGCGCCTCCTGGAGTTGTGCAGTGGTCTTGTGCCCAAAGAGAGTATTCAAGCCATTTCCAGGCATAATTGTAAAAGCTCTTTTAAAAAAAAAATATTTATTTATTATTTATGTATTTATTTATTTAAGTTATCTCTTTTCCCAACATGGGGCTTGAATGCACGACTCCCAAGATTAAGAGTCGCGTGTTCTTCCGACTGAGCCACCCAGGCACCCCATCAAGAGCTCAGGCAGTGGCTGTAGAAACACTGTTTCTCCATCTGCAGCCATGGGACTCATGTGGACTCGACCCCCAGATCCTGGCCTCAGCTTAACTCTGCTCTCAGGACTTCATTCCACTAACAGAGGCTCTGAGGAGGAGTCACGCGCCCCTGAGAGGGTGTGTGGCCGACGATGCCACCAAGTTCGCCGAAGCAAGGTCTCCCTGTGGCCCTCCTGCCATCCTCCTTGCAGCGACCAACTGCTTTTTTCAGACTCTTCATTCGGTGCTGTAGTGAGCTCAGGAGCTTCACTGTTGCCATGGGTTACATGAATTCCAAACTAAGGATGGAACCACAACAGTCCCTTAAATATCAGGCCTCAAGTGGGAAGCGAAAAGAAGTGCTCCAGCACCTTGGAGGAGATGAGGCGACGTTATGACAAGGGGCAGATACGGAAGAGGAATATGGCTGAGCAACCAGCTGGATGGTGGCCGCCTGGGGCTGCAATTTGTTAACAGCTGCTAAAAAGATTCGCTCTCTGTGGGGCTTGCAAGTCATGGCAAATTCCCAGAGAAATGAGAATGAATGTCTGAACCTCAATCTTGTGCCGTCCAATATGGTAGCCACTGGCCACACGTGGCGACTAAGCTCTTGAAATGTGGCTGGTCTGAATGGAGATGTGCTGGCAGGAGGATGGCCACAGTGGCTGGGTAGGGGAATAAAAGTCGCTCTTTCATTGCACTTATCAAAATAAACTCCCGAGGGATTAAAAAGTTAAAAGCAAAAGCCTATGTAGAAAAACTAGGTGACTTTTGGATGGCACAGGAGTGTCTAAGAATATGGGAAACAGAAGAAATCACAAAGAGAATGACAGATTTGACTGCAAAAAAAAAAAAAAGAAAGAAAGAAAAGCTTTAGCTTTTTGTTTTGGACAAATATTAATTTTAAAAAGGATAAGAAGGGGCGCCTGGGTGGCGCAGTCGGTTAAGCATCTGGCTCTTGGTTTCAGCTCAGGTCATGATCTCAGGGTCGTGGGATGGAGCCCTGCATTAGGCTCTGTGCTCAGTGCAGAGTCTGCTTGAGATTCTCTCTCCCTCTCCCTGTCCCTCCCACTTGTACACTCTCTCTCTCAGATAAAAAAATAAATCTTAAAAAATAAAATAAAAAAGTAAAAGAAATGACCTTCAGGCCAGATAGGTACTTCTGGAAACATTTTCTCTTAAAAATATTTTTAATTGAAATATAATTGACATATAACATTGTGTAAGTTCAAGGTACACAACCTGTGGATTTAACACATTTATTACAATATTGCATATTCAATATGATTACCACCATTAGGCATACCTAATGCCTGTATCACATCACATAATTATTTTTTTGTGGTGGGAATAATTAAGATCAAGTCTCTTAGCCACTTTGTAGTTTATAATATAATATTGTTTATGATCATCATGCTGTGCATTAGATCTCCAGGACTTACTTATCGACTAGTTGCAAATTTGTAAAAAGCTTCAGCTTTTATAACATTATAGGTATAGATATGATTTAAAACCATATAAAATGGGAAATTATTTTCCATAAAGATCACATATAAAGTACAGAAAAAATTGATGATGTTCTAATACCCCAGGAATGGAATGAACAACTCCCAGAAGAAATACAGATGGCTGATAAACATTTAAGTGTCTACAAGTAATCAAAGGAAAGCAAATTAAAACTGCCATTAAAAGTTTAAAAAGTTAAATTAAGGCAAGTTGAAAACACTGTTTATTATGATTCAAGTTAACAAACTTTTGTTTTTGATGGAAGTCATACATAGCTGATGGGAATGTAAACGGGGAAAAATTTCTAGAAAGCAACTTGCAAAATGCATCAAGAGTCTAAAAACGTTCTACTCTTTGACCTGGAAATTTCACTTCTAAGGAAATTAACAGACCAATTTATGTGCAAGGATGTCCATATGTTCACTGTTCATAATGGCAAAATAACTGAAGCTGCTGAAAATATGCAAATAAATGATGCCACCATGAAAAAAAAAGATGTGCTGTAAGCATAAAATGCACACTGGGTTTCAAAGACTTAGTATGGGGGCTCCTGCATGGCTCATTTGGTTGAGCGACCAACTCTTGATTTCGGCTCAGGTCATGATCTCAGGGTCAGGAGACCTTCTCCAGGCTGGGCATGGAGTCTACTTAAGATTCTCTCTCTCCTTCTCCCTCTGCCCCTCCACCCCAACCCCTGCTTGAGTCTGCATTCTCTCGCTCTAAAAAACCAACCAAAACAAACAAGAAAACCCAAAGGCTTAGTATAAAAAAATGATGTAAAAAAATCACACTAATATTTTTCGATCGACTCTCTACAGTGGCCAATATACTGGGTTAAATATTGAGTTGTATAAAATATATCATTATATATTTGGTTATAATATCAGGTGAAATAAATTGGGTTAAATAACATGATTAAAATTGATTTCATCTCCTTTTCAGTGTGGCTACTAGAAAAGTTAAAATTCCATATGCAACTAGCTTTTGTGGCTCACGTTTGTGGGTTGCACTACATTTCTATGGGATAGAGCGGCTTTAGATCCGTGGGTAAATCCTCATCCTAACCCTATGTCCTCCCCAATTGTCTCTCCCACCCCAGGCTTTCCCTTTCTCTTTCCTTCTCTACATTTTATACTCTTTCAGCAGGAAACTAACTCACTTCTACCATTAAATGGGAAGAATAATAGCTAACATTTTTTAAAAAGATGTATTTATTTATTTGAGAGAGAGAGAGACAGTGCATGCATTTGTGCACGCGTTTGTGCCCGTGGGGGAGGGAGGGGCGGAAGGACAGAAACTCAGGCAGACTCCCCGCTGAGCACAGAGCCTGAGGCTTTATCTCTCCACCCAGAGATCAGAGATCGGGACCGGAGCCAAAACCAAGAGTCAGAAGCTCAACCAACTAAGCCACCCAGGCGCCCCGCTAATATTTTAAAAAAGGCTCTATGTGCTAAGTACGTTACCTGTCTTATGTCATATAATCCCCCCAACTATCATCTAAGGTAGGTAACATCATTGACACAGGGCATCTCAGCTATGTGCCCAAGGTCATACAGCCAATTAGTAGAGACGCTAGGACCCAAACCCCAGGTAGCCTGTCTCCCAAACCTGTCTGCTCTGTACTGCGTAAGAGAAATCGAAATTGGGAAATCTTGAGAGAAACCTCTTCGGAACAATCGACGGTGTTTTCCCACTTGCACTGCCATGATGCCCTGGGGAAGACATTGAAGCTTAAAAGCTAATGGTTGGTTCCTGAAATGTGCCCATCAATGCTGTGGATGGCATTGTGTCTCCCGGGTTGGGTCACCGCAGCTGAGACAGCACATTCCTGAAAATTTCTTACACATTAGGAGCCTCTTGAGGAGGCTTTTAGCCTTGGAAGATGTGAACAAATGGGTTAGAATCAGTAAGAGGATGTAGGGACTTCAAGTGGCATAGGACAAAGGAATGACCCAGTGGGGAGGGGCCAGGAATGCTGGGCTGAAAATTGGTGAACAGAAGGAGGTTAGAGGCATATTGTCCATGATAGAAGATTCTCAGGTTTTCAGGAGGAAAATATGTAAGATGTGTGAACAATAAAACAACCATTATGGGGATGGTTGCAAACTGGATTTCTAGAAAGAAAATTTAGCCATTGACCTGGTGGGTTGACCACATCCAAGTGCCTTAAGCTGTGACCTCAAACCATGGTGCCTCATCCAGTGGCAAAGTTGGCTGCTCGCTAATTATTAAGAAAAATATTTAAGTACCCAACATGGCGGAGGATTTACTTTGTATGTGTTTTAAAGTGGACGGCTGTGTTATCCCGATAATGAGCTCCCGCTCCAGACCGTCTCCCATGCTTTAGAGAGCAGAGAGGAAAGGGTGGGGTCAGTGTTAGCTCCGTGACTGGTCCCCAGAGCTCTCTCACCTGTGCCGCAGCCTAGGACCCCAAAGGAATACATCTGTCCCTTGTTCCCAGGCAGAAATGAAATTTGAGAACAAATGGTTTAACGGATGATACAAGAGAATCAAAGGGATCGTGGTAGGTCAGATGATGCTTCAGACAGCAGGCGGGGGAGAAGATGATTTGCACAGGGAACCCAGAAGCTTTAGGGATTTGGAGATCGAGGTGCAATGATGTGGATAGAGGAGTGCCTTGAATCCAGGTAGATTGGGTTTAGATCTCAGGGCTGGCCCTTAGAAGCTTATGGGAGTCTGTGTGGAGTTTTTTCCCCCCCACTCCAACAACCAATTCTCTGCCAACTGGGTGTCCAATAATCCATTCAGGGCTGATACGGGCTGACATTATCTACCCACATTTCTGCCTGGCTGACTACGAACTTGAGGTTCCCATACCACCACCATCCCACGCCCCTGGTTTGGTAATTTGTTAGATCAACTCACAGTACCCAGGAAAAAACTTTACTGACTTTGCTGGTTTATCATAAAGGTTACGACTGGTGCCCGTTGGTGTCGGAGAATTGGTGTTGAAACAGACGAGCTGAGGCCCCAGGCATCACAGACCAGAGACAAGCAGTCCCCTGGGTGCTCTTTCCAAATCCTGACCCAGAGGATCTCAGCACAATAAAATGACTACAGCTTCATGTCACTTTTGGGGCGCTGGTTTATTATGCAGTCATAGATAAATGGACCCAGGTGGTCCACCTTCAGAGTTGTAAGGATCACAGAGAACAACATATGGCCATCACCTAATCTGGGGCCTGACCTACAGCAAATCTTATCTTCGTTATTGAAAATGAAAGGATCATAAGCTACTCGCTGTATTTGGCCCATCAGTCTCCTTTGCCCCACTCCCCCCTGCCCCTCCCCCACACTTCCAGGAACTCTGAGAGTCAACTCAGCGTAGCAAAGACCCTCCTCCACAAGTTCCAACCACTTTGAGGGTCTTTAAATGTCTTTCTAGCTGGTCTGAAGCCAGCTTTATGTTAAATGAAGCCCCTCTGCCCACCTGTCTTTATTCTCTTGCTTTTTGGAAGCCCAAATCCACTTTGACCTGGGGCTGACCCTAAAATTATTCTGCAGGCTGTCAACTCAGGTCCATCCGATCCTGCAAAGTGGGGGAGGCCAGGTGTGAAACCTGCAGGGCCCCAGCTGGGCATGGAAATAGTTTTCCCTGCTCCCTCCCTTGGCCCTCAGTTTGCCTCACCCGGTGGAATCCTGCCCCGGAATCCTGTCATTTCTCTGTGCTCCGATCTGCCAAGGATGCAAGGAACATAGGTTCTCCACCCTCTCTTTGGGGCTCTGAGGCAGACAAGACACCACCCACTCACTCTGTGGTGTGTCTCAAACGAGGTGCGTCTCCGGCTCTTCCTCTTTTTTTCCTCTCCAGGTCGAGTTGTGAAACACTTGGCACTAACACAGACCCGGAGTCCAAGATCAAACAAACCAAAGCAAACTTCGTAACCATGGAAACAAACGATTGCATGAGATGATTGCTGCATTCAGGTGAGGAAAGCCCAGGAACTTCCTGTGCCTTGGCCACAGGTGTGGATGGCCACGTGGGGCTAGACAAGGACCCGGCAAAGCTGCCCCACGTCCTACTATCCACATGGAACTGCTGAAAGGCAGATCCACGTGGGGTGAATACGCTTATGGTTCCCGTTGTATGGATGAGCAGACAGAAGCTTAGAGGGTTAGTCCAGGGCCACAGAGCCAAAACAAGACAAGGCTGGGATTTGAACCCAATCTGTCCAGTTGAAAGTCTAGCCTCCCAACCCCCAGCGCGTACCACATCCTCTGCTATAAATTCTGGCTCTGTTGCTGGGTTACACAGAAAAAACCCAGTGAGCTCCACGGATCTTTACCGAAACCCTATTCCAGGTGATGTACTGTGTCAGGAGCTGTGCGGGATAAAAAATGACTGAGACAGAGGAAGATAGCTGATAGTAGAGAAACAACAATTCTTTCTAAAGATTCTTGTATAAAATGTCATGAAAAGCCCCCTACCCCTTCACAGAGCTCTCAGGCAGTCAACTAAACCATCCAGGACATTCCCTTAGCAGGAAGGAACACTCCAAAGAGCTGTCCAGGGCTGAACTGTGTCCCACAAAAGGACGTATTGAATTCTAGCAAGAATGGAGAGAAGACAATGGGAAAAGACACAGAGTGAAGATGGCCATCTCCCAGCCAAGAAATGTCAGGGATTTCTGGCAACACCAGAAGCTAAAACAGAGAGCATGGGCTAAATTCCTTCCTTCTCCAAGAAAGAACCAACTCTGCCAACTGACACATTGATTTTGGACTTCTGCCTTCCAGAACTCCAAGAGAATACATTTTTGCTGTTTTAAGCCAGCTGGTTTGTAGCCCCTTGTTATGACAGCCCCAGGAAGTGAATACACCTACCTTCCATTTCACCGTGGTTCCTGTGTTGTGGGAGGAAAGTAGTCTCTTCTTAACCTTGTGATCTCTCATTCTTCCTGTGTCTCCTCAAAGACCTCCAAATCCTTCACCTAAGCTTGTGTCCTTCCAACCAGCTTGTCTGCTAGGAGCACGCCCTCCTACTCTAGGGTCATGGCTCCTCAGTGCCATTCACGTATCCCTCTGCTTCCCCAAACCCCTGAAATGCACATTCAACCCTTTGCTTTCTCTGCATCCCTCCTGATTAATTACCCTCAGCAAAGGATTGACTCTGCCCAAGGGATGGATGGAGGAAGTGAAGCCGGAGACGTAGGATGAGAGCAGACGCTGAGCAGGAAGAAAGTCCTATAGAATCTGATAAGGTGTTTCAGTTCCATAACCTAGGGGAAGGAAAGCTACGGAAGCAGGAGAGTTCATTTATTTACATATACTTTTTTTTTTTTTTTTGCGAGAGAAGGAGATGGTGGGGGGAGTGAGAGGGAGAGAGAGAATCTTAAGCAGACTCCATGCTGAGCGCAGAGACTGACATGGGGCTCCATCTCACGACCCTGAGATCGTGAGCTGAGCCGAAACCAAAAGTTGGTGGCTTAACCAACTGAGCCACCCAGGCACCCCTTATTTACATATACTTATTGAGTCCCTGCTGTATGCTAGGTATGGTGCTAAATGCTGGAGAAGTGCATCAGGTAGGAATGCTTTCAGTGGTAAATGACAGGACCCGTAATGGACTTAAACCATAAGTACATTTATTGTTCATTTAACAAGCAGTCTGGAGGGAGATGGGATGTCTTCAAGGACCCAGGTTTTCCAAACTTCTTTCTCCACTGCCCTCAACATGTTGATTTCGAGTCTTGTGTTTGTTGCCTCATGGTATGGAATGCTGACCACTTTGACTAAGATGGATGTTATAAGCCGATGTGTATCTCCCCAACATTCCTGTGTTGGAGTCCTAACCCCCACTACCTCAGAATGTGGCTCTACTTGGAGATGGCGCCTATAAAGAGGCAGCTAAGGTAAAATGAGGTTATATGGGTGGGCTCTAATCCAACATGACTGGTGTCCTTATAAGAGGAGATTAGGACCCAGAAAGGCACAGAGACACCTGGGATGCATGCGCACGGAGGAAAGACCATGTGAGGGCAATGAGAGGTAACCACCTGAAGCCAAGGAGAGGGGCCTCAGGAGAAACCAGCCCTGCCACCTTGATCTTGGACTTCCAGCCTCCAGACTGTGAGAAAATAAATTTTTTTAAAGATTTTTATTTATTTATTTGAGAGACAGCACAAGTGGGAGGAGGGGCCAAGGGAGAGGGAGAGGGAGAAGCAGACTCTCTGCTGAGCAGGGAGCCTGATGTAGGGCTTGATCCCAGGACGCTGGGATCATGACCTGAGCTGAAGGCAGATGCTTAACTGACTGAGCCACACAGGCATCCCAGTGAATTTGTTGTTTAAGCCGCGCAGTCTGTGCATTCTGTTATGGTAGCCCTAGAAAATGAATACAAATGGGGAATACAGGGAAAACCAGACTGGGGGTTGGGGGGAGGCAGGAGGAGGAAGCCAGCTTCTGTGCATTGATTTAAACTCTTCCCTCCCCCATCAATCAGGCTCAGCGAGGCCCCCCTCATGCCCCCATGTCACACTGCACATCTTAGAGACCTCACTCACCTTGGGACTCGTGTCAGTGCAGAAGGATCCCCTGCCCCCACTGGACTGTGAACTGCTCATTCTGTGTTGAACATCCCACAAGGCTGTTTTGAAGGGAGAAAGATGTGTTGTTCCTTCATTTACTGCATGATGAGCTATCTCCGTGCGCTGGAGTCATGTTCATTCTCCATGCACCTGCAGCTGTCAAGGTCTGCAGTTTAACAGAATTAAAAGAAAGTGATCATGACTTGGAGAACCTAGTAAAGTGCCCAAAGATGTTGTAGGTTCTCCAAATCCTTCATGATAAAGTAGAGGCTGAGTCTCGGTGGTAATCCTGAGAGTGCTGGGGTAACCCACGTTTCTTGAGTCCCGTGCAGTATGTGTATATCAGCATGGGTGTGTGTGTGTGTGCAAGTGTGCACCCATGTGTGTCTGATGAGGCTGTGAGCACGGACGAGGTGGACAGATAGCTGCCTGGGGTGGGAGACTGGTTTCTCTCCCCCTCCTTCTGAGCCCTCACAGGTTTCCAGGTATGAGACTGGCTAAAATGGGCTGAGAAACATTAGGATAAAAAAAGCCGAGGGGCGCCTGGGTGGCTCAGTCGGTTAGGCGACTGCCTTCGGCTCGGGTCATGATCCCGGAGTCCCGGGATCGAGTCCCGCATCGGGCTCCCTGCTCGGCGGGGAGTCTGCTTCTCCCTCTGACCCTCCTCCCTCTCATGCTCTCTGTCTCTCATTCTCTCTGTCTCAAATAAATAAATAAAATCTTTAAAAAAAAAAAGCCGAAAAATTTGAACAGTGGGGTTTGAGGCACCTGAAGAAGAAACATTGGGATTTCAGTGCTTGGTGTATGGAAAGAAATGAACCAGAGATCAGCAAACACCAGATATGATACCTGGATTTAAGAGGCTGTCAAGAAAAAACTATTCTTATACTTGTTAAAATGGCAAGGAAGACTTTATTCAAGATGATCACTACAGGTGTCAAGACCAGTGCCAATAGGGGAGAGAGCCAGCTCAACCCTGAGGACAAGTGGGGATTTTTAGTCAAGGGTCAGAGTGAGGGGGCCGAGGTGTGGAAAACTAGGAAAAGGAGACATCATGGGGTAGGGTATTCTTGTTAAATTGACCTAACAGGATTCCTACTAAAGGCAGGCCAAGGACTTGTACCTCAAAGGTTGGGGATGAGAAACTTAATCAGATAGCAAGAGTGACTAGATAGCAAGGATGGGGATTCTTTTTTTTTTAATTTTTTTAAGTAATCTCTAGGGGCACCTGGGTGGCTCAGGTGTTAAGCATCTGCCTTCAGCTCAGGTCATGATCCCAGGGACCTGGGATCAAGCCCTGAATCCGGCTCCCTGCTCTGTGGCGAGCCTGCTTCTCCCTCTCCCTCTGCCTGCAGCTCCCCCTGCTTGTGCTCTCTCTTTCTCTGTTAAATAAAGAAATAAAATCTTAAGAAAAAAAACTCTATACCCAGCTTGGGACTCGAACTCACAACCCTGAGATCAAGAGTCACATGCTCTACTGAGCCAGCCAGCTGCCCCAGACAGGGGATTCTCTTTAAAGTGACATAGCAGGACTCTTGCTAAAACTGGGGGTGGGGGTCAAGGTCAATGCCCAGAAGAAGACCCAGATGAACCTGAAGTTTGATCTAGGAGAGAGTCTTGTCAAGGCAGCTCCACCAAGAAGCACATAAATACAGGGTGGTCAGGGTTAAACAGGTGTTAGAATGTAGATCTAAACTATTTTGTATAATATCTGTAACTATGTATAATATTTTATATGTTGTTTGTTTTATACATATTATAATATTTGTAACTATTTTTTTTCTCAAAGTAGATTTGATAAATGATTAAGAAAATCTAGACCCAGCTCAGCAAAAACCATATTTAAATTTTCAATCTCCTATTTCCTGAGAAGCTAACATTTTGATGAATACTGATGAAATCTCATGCCAGCACATCAAAGATTTAGGAGGTTTTGGCCTAAAATTGTCTCAAAGATTTTTCAACTATGCCTGTGAAATCAGCCTCATTAATCTTTGAGAAACTACGAAGAAAGAGGCACTAGAAGGTCAGCGTTGGACAAAGTCTGTCCCAATTATATAGAGTCTGGATCCATTCCTAGAATGTTCACTAGATCAATTCTGTGTCTTAGGAATGTGCTGTAACTTGCTGGAACCATGAAGAAAAGCAGTGGAGAGAATGCCACTCAAGTCAGGAAAGTGGTTCCCTGTGGGGAACGAGGCAATTCCTCCTTGAACAAGACACACCATGGACTTTTGGGATTCTCCCAACATTCAAATTACTGATTGTGGATAGTTCCAGGGATGTTGGACTCACAGTTATTTATCAATTAGTACATACTTATATTTTATGTACCTTTATGTAATGTGTTGTATTACACAATTAAAAGCTTTAAAAAATAGTTTGTCCTAATTTTCAACAAACAAATAAATGGAGGCTTCTGGAAATTATAAACCAAAATAATCCTTGAAAAAAAAAATTCTAGGATAAGTGATGAAACGGACAGTGTGAGTACTTGGAAAAGAAAGTGGTGATGCTAGTTGGGTTTATTCAGAATAAGCTGGGCTGGGCGCCTGGGTGGCTCAGTTGGTTAAGCGACTGCCTTTAGCTCAGGTCATGATCCCGGAGTCCTGGGATGGAGTTGCGCATCGGGCTCCCAGCTCGGCGGGGAGCCTGCTTCTCCCTCTGACCCTCTCCGCTTTCATGCTGTTTCTCTCTCTCTCTCTCTCAAGTAAATAAATAAATAAAATCTTAAAAAAAAAAAAAAGAATAAGCTGGGCTAAGTGCATCTGAATTTTGTTTTGCTTAGAGTTAGTAGGCTAGTGGGTCGTGGATTGTAGAAAGCATCTGGAAAGAGCTCTCAAGATATCCTTGTGGACCAAACAGAAATGTGGGCTGGCCCAAAAAAAGTTTATCCGGAGGATGTAAGGTTGGTTTGCTGGGGATGATCTAACGCATGGCTGCAAAGGTTTGATACCCTTCTTATAGAGAGGTGAGGTCTATGCAGTGTCATGTTGCTACATGTCTAACAGCCACATCTCTGAGGATAAAAGCCCTGATTTGTAGTATTTGACAATTTCTATGGGATACATTTTTTTACAAAAAGATTTTATTTTTAAGTAATCTCTACATCCAACATGGGGCTCGAACTTGCAACCCTGAGATCAAGAGTCGCATGCTCTACTGATTGAGCTGGCCGAGTGCCCCCGTGGTGTAAATATCCCCACCAAGATTGATGTCAAAGATGGCTGTGTTTAACAATGGACTCATACAATTTTTGAAAATTTTGCTGGCTCCACTACCCTACTGGGTCTATGTCTCCTCTTTTGGATCTAGGCAGGTTTGTGACAGCTTTAATCAAGAGTCCAATGGAAGTGATTCCAAAAGGCCAGTGATAAAGGTGTGTAACTCCCAGTCTGATGCTGGAGCACTCTGGGAAAGCCCTCTGGGAGCCCCAAGCTGCCATGTAAGTTTCGCCCCTGAGAGAATGTGCCAGATATGTGAATGAAGCTACTTTGGACTGCACAGACTCAGCTACCCAGTGACCTCCACCAATGCCACGAGAAACAAAAATATCACCCATTGAGCCTTGCCCAAATGTCTGACTTCCAAAGTCATAGGATATAATAAAATGCTTCTGTTAAACCACTAAGTTTCGGGGCAGTTTGTTCGCAGCAGATCATTGAAATACTTCCCACACCCTCTCATCTCCTTTCTGATTTGTCTTTCTCTACACCAGAGGCTTCGAAAGGGGGATGCTCCAATTCCGAGCCTCCCTTACAGCTAGGTGTGGCCATGTGACAGTTTTGGCCAATGAGATATAGGCAGAAATCCCTGGGGAGATTTTCTCTTTCTGAATCAGGAAGGCAAATATTTAAGAGGCGAGGATTTTTGCTCTTTGTACTTTGTCATGCCTCATTTTTCCTGCCTGGTATGTAGATATGATGGCCTGGGGTTCTGCAGCTATCCTGTGTGAGGAAGAGAAAGTTGGTTCTAAAAGTAGAGAAGGGCAGAAATCCTGGGTTATCTGCTTCTGGATCTCTAGTGACATGGAAAAAGTAAAATCTTACTCGCTTAAGCCCTTGTTTGTTGGGATAGCTGTTACTCACAGCTGGAAGCAATTCCAGCTTACTTTAGAGAAGCCAATTTGTAGCAAGTTGGATGAAGGAACCAAAGAAGTTAAATCAGGGCTGGTTTCTTGGGTGTGTGACCTGCGCAATTACACAGGGACCCACACAGAGAAGGGCCCACACTTGGTTTAATGCTCTCCTAGCTTTACCTTGAAATTCTGAATAATTTTTGAACAAGAGGCCCTGCATTTTAATTTTGTTTCCTTATTTATCTTTAATCTCTACACCCAATGTGGGGCTTGAACTCACAACCCTGAGATCAAGGGTCACATGCTCCACCGACTCTGCCAGCCAGGCGCCCCTGCATTTTCATTTGGTGCTGGAGCCCACAAATTAGTCAGTTCTGGGTTTAATGAATCAGTGTGATCCTAAATGGAATTTGTATGTAGGTTATATCATCAAACTTGGTCAGTCAACATTTTTCTTAAAGTCACAGAAGAGGACATAGAAAACATTATGAAATTTGTAAACAGCCCCAAATTTGATATACTGTCAATTAGATGACAGATTTAATATTTAAAAAGAAATCTAAATAGTCATGAAGCCCAAAGCAAGATGACATTTAAGAAGAGATAAATGAGAAGCCCTGTCTTTGGGATTTTTTTTTTTTTTAAGATTTTATTTATTTATTTTAGAGAGAGAGAGAGTGGGGGGAGGGGCAGAGAGGGAGGGAGAAGGACAAACGGACTCCGCACTGAGTGCAGAGCCCTACCTGGGGCTTGATCTCATGACCCTGAGATCATAACCTGAGCCAAAACCAAGAGTTGGATGCTTAACTGACTGAGCCACTCAGGTGCCCCTAGGAATTTTTTTTAACACACAAGGTCAGAGCTATCCATGTGGCAGGAACTCTGTGGTAGGGTCACTACTGTGTGTCCAAAGTAAATCACCACTGTTCTGGAGTGGATTCCAGGTCAATCTAATGGATTCTAAGTGAGCTACTGACTTGCGCTTGGAAATCTTTTCGCAATATAGTGAAATTTAGTAATAGTATTTCATCTGGGAAGGAGCCATGTACATATTTCCCTAAAGCTTGGAGCTGATGTGGTACCAGGTG